TAGACACTGGGGAGGGTATGTGCTCTGGTAAGCGCTGTGAATTGTGCAAGACTGTTGAATCTCAGATCTGTACCTCTGAAACAAATAATGCAATATATGTTAAGAAAAAAAAAAAAAGAAGAAGAAGAAGGTAGCGGGAGGGGAAGGATGAAGCAGGGGAAATCGGAGGGGTAGACGAACCATGAGAGACGATGGACTCTGAAAAACAAACTGAGGGTTCTAGAGGGGAGGGGGGTGGGAGGATGGGTTAGCCTGGTGGTGGGTATTGAGGAGGGCACATTCTGCATGGAGCACTGGGTGTTATGCACAAACAATGAATCATGGAACACTTCATCTAAAACTAATGATGTAATGTATGGGGATTAACATAAGAATAAAAAATAAATTAATTAAAAAAATAAAGAGTAAGAGGTCATCACTATAAATCTTACAGACAATTAAAATATTATGAGGATATTTTAATCACTCTATGCCAATAAGCTTGAAAATTTTGATGAAATGGGTAAATTCATTGAAAAACATGACTTACCAATCTTACAGAAGACAACATAAAGAATAGTCCTGTATCTATTAGAAATATTGGTCAGTAATTAAACATTTTCCTACAATGAAAACTGTAAGTCTAGATGGCTTCACTGGTGAATTTTTCCAAACATTAAAGAAAGAAATTACACCAGTTTTACACAAACTCTTACAGGGGAGAGAAGAGAGAGGGAGAGAGAGAGAGAGAGAACTTCCTAACTTTTTGGATGAGGGTGACATAATATTGATATTAAAACCCAACTAGGACATTACCAAAAGAATAACTACAGAATAATATCTGTTAAAACATGGATATAAATTCTAAACAAAATAATAGCAATCATATCCAGTGTTATATAAAGATGATAATACATCATGACAAATTTGAGCTCATTATAGGAATGTGAAGTTGCCTCTACATTTGATAGCCAATTATGTAATTTACTACATTAAAAGTATAAAGGAATAAAGTCATATTTCAATAGATATAAAAAAGCATTCAATAAAAATTCAACATTTATTCATGATAAAAATTTCTTAGCAAACTAGGAATAAAAGGGAATTTTCTTAATCTGATCATATCAAACAAAAAAAGCTATAACAAATATCACACTTAATGGTAAGGTATTAGAAGCTATCTTTTTGAGACTGGAACAAATGAGGATGTCCACCACCACCACTTCTACTTAATTTTATGGGAAGTCCTAGCCATTGCAACAAGGCAAGAAAAAGAAATAAGATGTAAGATTTGAAAAGGAAAAAAAAGAAACCTGTGGTCATTTGTTGATGGCATGATTATGTATGCTGAGAATCTTAAAAAATCTATAGGTATGCTAGAAGAAAGAATAAATTTAGCAAGGTTATTGGGAGCAAGAGCAATACAAAAAAACCAGTTGTGTTTTTATAAGTTGACAATACGCAATTAGAAAATGAAAAAAGATTTCATTGACAATAGCATTCTTTAGATTAAAAAAACCCTAAATATTTAGGAATAAAATCTGACAAAATATGTTTATAATTCTACAGAGTATTATGGAGAGAAAAAGAGACTATTTATTTATTTATTTATTTATTTATTTATTTATTTATTATTTTACGTAGGCTCCACACCCATTGTGGAGCCCAACATGGGGCTTGAACTCACAACCCTGAGATTGAGACCTGAGCTGAGATCAAGAGTTGGATGCTTAATCAACTGAGCCACCCAGGCACCCCAGAAAAGAGACTTTTTAAAAAAAAGAAATAGGGATATACTATGTTCATAAATTGGTAGTGTCAATATTGTAAAGTGGTCAGTTCTTCTCCCAACTGTCCAACAGATTCAATTCAACCTTAATAAAACCTAATACACTGCTGGTAACAATTAAAAATGGTGAGACCTCTTTGGAAAACGGTTGGTTAGAAACAGTTGGTCAGTTTCTACGAAGGATAAATATAATGTTACTATGTGATCCAGCAATTCCAATCCTAGGTATATGCCCAAGAGAAATTAAAACATGTCCACACAGAGACGCCTGGGTAGCTCAGATGGTTAAGCATCTGCCTTCAGCTCAGGTCATGATCCCAGGGTCCTGGGATCGAGTCCCACATCAGGCTCCTTGCTCAGCGGGGATCCTGCTTCTCCCTCTGCCTGCTCTGCCTGCCACTCTCCCTGCTTGTGCTCTCTCTTTCTCTGACAAATAAATAAATAAATAAAATCTTAAAAATAAAACTATGTCCACACAAAAACTTGCACATGAATGTTCATAGTGGCATTATTCATAAAAGCTCAAATATGGAAACAGCCCAAATGACCACCAACTAATGAATAGATGAATAAAATGTGGTACATCTGTACAATGAAATATTATTTGGCCATTAAAAAAGAATGAAATACTGACACATGTTACAAAATGGATGAACTTTGTAAACATTACACTAAGTGAAAGAAGCAAGTTATGAAAGACCACATATTTTATGATCCCATTTATGTGAAATGGCCATAATAGGCAAGTCTATAAAGACAGAAAATAGAATTAATGATTGCCTAGGGTTGGAGTGGGGAGGAGTGACTGCTAATGGGCTTGGGGTTTTTCTTGAAGGGTGATGAAATTGTTCTAAAATTTATATGTATCTAAAAAAAAGAAAAGAAAAAAAATTTATATGTATCTGACAAAGATCTTGTATCTAGAATATATTAAAATTATCCTATAAAATGAGAGAAAAAGATAGACAATTTGATTGTTTTAAATGGGAAAAGACAACATACTTTTCATAAAAGAAGGTATACAAATAGCTAATATATACATGTAAAGGCATTCAACAGAGTTATCAGAGAAACGCAAATTAATACCACAATGAAATACCACTACACATTCACCAGAATGACTAAAATTTAAAAGACTGATAATACTAAGTGTTGGCAAAGATGTGGTCACTGAATTCTCACATTGCTGGGAGAAGTGTAAATTTGTCCAATCACTTTACAAAAACCCTGGCAATAACTACTAAAGTTGAGCATATGCATTCATTATAATTCAACAGTTCCACTCTCAAGTACATATCCAATAGAAGTGCACACATACATGCAGCAAAAGGGCATTGCAGGTTTGATTTTAGCCACATTACTCTTAATGGTAAAAAACTAGAAAGAATCCAAGTAGCCATCGGTAATGGAATGGGTAGATAAATAGTGGTATATTCATTCAATGGAATATTATACAGCTACGCCAAAGAACAATCTACTGCTACACGAAAAAACATGGACAAATCTCACAAACATAACACTGAGTCACTGAAGTCAGTCACAAACAAAAGAATATACTATGTGTTTCCATTTACATAATGTTTAAAAATAAACAAAGTTATTCCATAGTGCTAGAAGTTAGTTATCTTGGGGAGGGCAATAATTGGATGGTGTATGAGGGAGACTTATAAGGTGCTGGTAAAATTCCACTTTGTAAAAGCTCATGAAGTATGCTCTTAAGATTTGTGCACTTTATTTATTTATTTATTTATTTATTTATTTATTTATTTATTCTTGAGAGAGAGAGAGAGCGAGAGTGTTCGTGTGCTTCAGTAAGAACTTTGGGGGAACAGAATTCAGTCCACAACGGGGACAAAAAGACACAGATGCCAGCTTGAAGAGGTTCTCACTGACAGAATCTGGACAATTTGAACATATTAATACTGATATGAAATGAAGGAATAAATGAAGAAAAGATGAGGCTTTCCATTGAGTAGAATAACAGAAGGGGTGGTGGGACTAGATAGTCACCATTTGGCAACTATCATAATAACAATATTTCAGCCAAGAGAGAGCAATGGTTACTAAAAGTAATGTCCAAGTTGGATGACGAATGAGAGTTTGCATAGTACTTTACAAAGCACCTCCCCGTGAGAAAATTTATTAATTAAAATAGGAGAAGAGATAATCTTACAATAGATAAACCTGGCAGACAACATCTTAAGCCATCAAAGTGAGCATCATCAGTAACGGGAGAAGGTGAAATCATGCATCACCCAAAAAGGTGCAGTGAGACCCCAGCACCCCTTCTGTGATGCTCTTGCCCCAGATGCACATCTTGAATCTAAATCGTGATACTGGATTGGATCTTTTGGCTACCAATGACATTATTGGGGAAAATGGTGAAATATGAATAAATTACAACAATGCATCTCTAATTTCTGTGGTTGCCTCGTGGTTATTTAGGAGAACGTCACTGTTTGCAGGATTTTTACTATTCGGGGGTGATGGGACATCATGTTGAAAATTTGTTCTCAGATGCTTTAGGGGGAAAAAATGTCTTTGTGCTATTCTTGGAACTTCTCTGTAAATTTGAAATTATTTCCAAACACGAAGAAAAAAAATGGTGACAAAAAAAGCTTATAACAATTATGTGTATGGAAAAAGTATGTGCGTGTATATATGCTAGGAGCCAAGGGGTGGGATGTTTTCAACATCTACGGCGTCTGCCTTCCCTTGCATTCATTCCTCCTTCCTCCAGAAACAGCGTCCAGATTTTATTTGGGGGAGCTACCCCTCCCCCACACTCGGTCCATGTGTTGCTGGTGTGGGCACGTGCCCAGGTCAACCAGCATATCTCATCTGCCTGGCCACCGTCATTGGTTTAGGGCTCAAGTCAGCCCAATAGAGGTCAACACTGGGATTTTTTTCTGAAACTATTGTGAAAGAGGCCGTTTTTCTCCTGGGGGGTTGCTTAACTTTTGGAAAATAAACCTGGGACTGCTTGAGACCCCCACATGGAGCCGGACTGTTTCAGGGCACAGAAAGCCATTTTAGAGGAAAGGAAAAAGAAGAGATAGAGAAACCAAGTCCTCTTGATTTCATTTTAGCCTACAGACACAGCTGTACTTGGACTTCTGGGTTCAGTAAGCCAAATAGCTTTAATTTTCTGCTTAAGCCACTTTGAGTTAGGCTCTTGGCACTTACCACTAAAATAATCATGACTAATGTTAGCAGTTCCTAATTCAGCTGGGCTAGAGTTCAGGGGGAGGAAGGGAGAGAGCTGGAGCTGCTAGCCAGACAAGACAGGGCCTCTGGGCATCAGGATTCAGTGGGAGTGTGGGGACTTCAGGCGCACTTGAAGGTACGTTTGGAGAAGTGGTGAGCAGGTGGTAGGGAGACAATTGCCAAACAGAAGTCCTTCAGTGACTCTAGGCAAAGCTTTGGGGCTTAAGACTTTATCCCCAATCAACTCCACCTCATAAGAGCTTGCTGCCCAGCCCACAGCCCAGTGGCCACACCCTTGGCACAGTCCCGACCAGAGCCACTTGCAGACTTGGCCCTGCTCCCCACTTCCAACCCCATGGTGACTTTGCTTTGCATTTCTTCACAGAGCCTCCATTTACAAAGCACCTTGTCTCTGGTTTGTGCAATTGAGCATTGGGACAACCCTACGAGGATGGCAGGGCAGATGATTTCCGTTTTACAGGTATGGAAAGTAAGGCTCAGAGAGCTAAAGCAACCTGCCCAAAGTCACACAGCTGTTCAGTGGCAGAGCCAGGACTAGGGGACAGGACTCCTCTCTCCAAGTCCATAGCTCTTTCTAGAGCTCTCTGAACTTTGGAATTTCTGAGCTGGGGCTGAGGGATGGCACCTCTACCCTGGTATTGGAGGTGTGTTGGAAGACAGAAACTTTCCCATTAGATTTTGGGACTGCCCTTGAGTGATTGGGGAGGGGGTCAGGCTTTCAGGGGCACATGAACTTTCAGGAGAGGGGAGTCAAGTGGGAACACTGTCAGGGGTCAGGATGCTGACTGGGGCAGGGTAGGGGAGCTTCACAGAATACTCGGTGTATAGCCCCATGCCATGAACTGGGCAGGGCCCTGAGGAGTCCGGAATTGAGAAAGAATTAGGTTGGACCCCACACGGAAGAAGCCTGCTGTTTGGTGGAAGAGACATGTACGTATGACATATGCTTACTTATGCCAGATACTGTTCTAAGTGCTTTAACTTCTCACAGCAACCCCTTCAGAAAGATCTATCATTATCTCCATTTTAGAGATGAGGAAACTGAGTCACACCGCTGTTAAAGGAGGGGCTAGTGTTGGGACTGGAAATCTGAGCCCAAGCTCTCAAGAGCTCCACTATTCTACCAGATTCACTGAGCATCTACTACACGCCAGGCCCTGTGCTACCGCGGAGCCAGGATGAACAGGACAGAGAGCCCCAGTCCTCCCAGAGCGGCTCCGCGGGGAGGGTGGGATGGGGGAGGGCAATCCGCCAGGCAGGGCCTGGGCTCTCTAGGGGGAGTGTGGGTCCTGCGGAAGCCCGATGCGGGCTCCGCAGAGCCGGCTTCCTACAGAGATGGTAGCCAGGGTGAGTCTCTGAAGGATGAGGAGTCCAGGAGGTGGCGAGGAGAATGCTCCAGGAGGCAGGACGGCCTCAAATCACCCCTGAAGCCCTGGAGGGTGGGCAAGGTTATGGGGTTTCGGTGGTTCGGGGCTCCTGGACCTCACCCCGAGGGCCTGGGAGCCCTGTGTGCAGCCAGGCCAAGGGCGCGTTGCCTGAGAACCGGCCTGGGGGGCGGTGGGTGCCGGTTTCCAAAATGCAGGCTGGACACTGGGGGCCTGGGGACAGGCAGGATGGGCCCCGGATTCTAGAGACACTGAAGAAAACAAGTCTACAGAAGTGACTGGGCAGTGACTGGCCAGAGCGGGGTGACGGTGGTGGAACCCTGTGTGTGTGTGTGTGTGTGTGTGTGTGATGAGCCAAGGGAGCCGTCTAGGCACAAGATTCAAACCAAGGAAAACTGGGCCCAGTGGGGCCATGGGGAGCTCACCGGGAGGGGCCATCCCCCCAGAGGTGCAAGGGGTCCGCGAGAGGCCATTCCCTGGGCCTCGGGCCCTTGGGGACCCAGGAAGGGAGGGCAGGGAGGTGAGGGGGATCCAGGTGGGCTGGATGCAGGCGGGGGTGGGGGGTTGAGGGCCAAACGGGGGATCCAGGCGGGGATGGGGTGGGGAATCCAGCTGGGCAGGATGCAGGCAGAGGGAATCTGGCGGAGGACGCAAGCAGGAGGGACCCAGGCGGGCGGGACGCGGGCAGGAGGGATGGGGCGGGGAAGGGGAGCAGTGCCCAGGGGCCCACACGTTGGGAGCGGGGAGCTGGAGGCATGGGAGCTGGGGAGGCAGGGCCCTGGGGAAACGAGGGCTAGGGCCCTGCCCAGGCGAGGGGGGCCACTGGCGGGGGGCGGGGCAGAGCGGGGAGGAAAGAGCAGACACGCGCCCAGACCACCCAGGCCTTTTGGAGAAGGGCTTGGACAGGAGCGAGAGAGGAATAGGAGGCTGTTGCGAAGAGGATTCGCAGAGGTGGCGGGCCAGGGCCAGGGAGAGCGCAGCGCGGATCAGAGCCCAGGGATCCAGATTTTAGAGGGAGAAGAACCCCGAGCTCAAGAGATGTCGGCCTGGGGGCGGGGTGTTAAAAGCCCGCTCTTGGCCGTCAGACCTCAGTTTGAGACCGATGTTGCCACTCCCCAGCAATGCAACCCAGGGCAAGTTACCTAACCTCTCTGAACTTCAGTTTCTTTGTCTGGAAAGTGTAGCTAACGATCTGTTTATCTTACAGAGCTGTTGTAAAGGTTGGAGCAACATAAGCAAGGGGCCTGGTACTCAGTAAGTCCCAAGTAAACCGTAGCCATGTTTAGTCTGTAGATTAGGTGGTTTTGCAAGAAAGAGCCTTTTGGGGACCATAAAAAGTCATAGCTTCTCGTCCTCACTCCTCCTCCACAAGCTGGGTGGGTTTGCGAGGCAAGCTCCCCAGGGCTTCTGGGTCCTCCTTTGTAAAATGGGAACACTCATACCTCCCACCCTGGACTTGGAGCAGAGCAGATGGGGCATTGTGTGAGCGGGAGTTTGTGACCCACTGGGAGAGACTGGGATGGTCGGTCCAGCTGGCACGCGGGCCTGCACCGGACAAGCTGGGCTGCCAGGTCTTAGGGGCCTCCCTGCATTCGCTTTAGGGATTTCTTTATCTGCCCTGGAATGTGCCGGCAGTCTTAGGCAATAGGGAAGAATGTTTCTCACACTCTTACATCAGCAATCCCCTAATAGGCATTGAACTCACACACCAACCACCACGTTTAAGCAAATTTTAAAAGAACGTGGTGTTTCTAAAATAATAAAAATGCAACTTTGTAAAAGTAATATGAAAGATAACTGTTTTGTATCATGAGAGGGATGATACCTTCTGAAAATCTCCACCAGTGTATCTATGCCCTGACAAAAAGAGGCCATAAGGGTTTTCACATCCTGTCAGTTTCTTTTCTTACTCATTTGTACTAAATTAGAAAATCCTAAACCACAATTACAGGTCATTAGAAATGGCAGCACATGTTTGGTGGCTGTCAGATGGTTGTGGATTTGAACCAAACAAGAATCCAGAAATCACAGAGCCATTTCTCCCTGCAGACTGTTTTCCACTCTTCTGGACACTAGGTCAACAGGGACAAAGCTTCTAAAAGTTAGAAGACTGAGTATTTCACCTAGAGAGAGAGAGAGAGTAGCAGACAGAGTTGTAATCTTCTCTTTGGTTGAATTTGACTCTAGAAAGAATTCTTTAAGTTCTGATGTAATATTTGGATGTGGTTTTATATTAATCTTAATTATATGTCATTGATTCCATTCTCCTGCTCAGAAACTAAAATCACCAAGTGTTGAGACAGAATCAAACTCTCATAATGGAGCAGTCACACTGCTGTTTGGTTTTAAGAAATGTCATAATAGTTTGGTGATGTCTCGGCAATACAGAAATGGAACAGAGTGCCATGTGAGCAGGACGCTTAAGATCCTAGAACGGGGGGCACCTGGGTGGCTCAGTTGTTAAGCGTCTGCCTTCGGCTCAGGTCATGATCCCAGGGTCCTGGGATGGAGCCCTGCATCGGGCTCCCTGCTATGCAGGAAGCGTGCTTCTCCCTCTCCTGCTCCCCCTGCTTGTGTTCCCTCTCTCGCTGTGTCTCTCTCTGTCAAATAAATAAATAAAATGTAAAAAAAAATAATCCTACAACGGGTCTTAAGTGGCATTATCAACGACACGAGAAAATGGTTTTATCTCATCACTCTTTTCAAAACTTCTTGTGGGAACCTTTTCCTCCAAAGCTAGAATCTCTCAGGGTGGAAGAGTAGACTCTTGGACTTGCTGCCCTTGTCTTGGCATAAGCTGCTGAAAAGAAGTATGGTCAGTGAATGAGACTGGATCATAGTCACGATTTTGACTATTTCCTTCAACTCTGTATTGGAGAGGATTTTGGTTTGGCCATTCATTACAGAGATCCAAAATAACAGGGGCCTAAACAAGACAGCAATCAATTGCTCTTCTGGATGGTAGTCCAGAGATAGGTGGTCCAGGGTGGGAAGGTGGTCATTCCCCATTAGTTTGTCCAAAGATACAGCCATCTTCTATCTTACTGTTCTGCTACCTTTAGGTCTTGCCCTCACTGGCATGCTCCAAGGTGGCTCACCATGACATGAGATTCCAATCAGGAGTTGAAGGAAAGTGGAGTGGAAAGGCATGCCCAGTGCCTATAAAGACCTGAAAGTCATACTTCAGCTCACATTTCATTGGCCAGAACACTGTCACATGACCACATCTAGCTGAAAGGGAGGATGGGAAATATAGTTTTTATTCTGAGTGGTCAGGCATCCTGCTAAAAATTGAGAGAGAAGGGGACAAGGGATATTGGGGGACAATAGCTGACATTGCTAAAATGTGGGGGGAAATCAGGAAACAGAAACTCGCTTTCAGGCACAGCTTCTTTCTTCCTTGGAAGGGTGTCCTTCCTGGTGCTCCCTCAGTAGTGATTGCCAAACCATCTTTTCTTTTCTTTTCTTTTTTTTAAGATTTTATCTATTTATTTGAGAGAGAGAGAGAGAGAGCATGAGAGAGAGAGAGATCATGAGCAGGGGGGAGGGGTAGAGGGAGAAGCAGGCTCCCCGCTGAGCAAAGAGCCCCATGTGGGGCTCGATCCCAGGACCGTGGGACCATGACCCAAGCCGAAGGCAGATGCTTAACCGACTGAACCACCCAGGCGCCCTCAAACCATCTTTTCAGTTCATATCATGATTCATGAAATAATTCATGTAAGCAAAGAATCTTTTCCTGAAGCAAGGATTTTTAGTGATAAAACTAAAAGTTATCAAATGCTTTTCTCAGATATATGAACCACACACATGCTGAGTGTGGTCGGATTCTGCACATTATTGATTTTAAATTGTTTTTTTTTTTTAAGTTTATTTATTTAAGCAATCTCTACACCCAACATGGGGCTCGAACTTGCGACCCCAGGATCAGGAGCCACACGCTCTTCCGACTGAGCCAGCCAGGCGCCCCTGCACATCATTGATCTAAGCCAATGTCACACACACGGACCCATATGAACGTTGGAAAAAAGAGATGAGTTGAAACTGTTTCTTCAAATCATTGATCATGCCACTTCAG